ATTGCCATCAGTTCCTAAATTGTCCAGAACTAAAACCCAGTTTAGAAGAAGAAAAATATGCTTCTTTTCTGGGAAGCTAGCAGCTGTACTTCACAGGATATATGAATGAGTCTCCATTCCCAGTGTAAGTCACACATTACACTCAACACCTGGGTTTAGCTTGTTTTTCATTTGTTTGTGGCTTTTCCCCCCAACAATGCTAAAAATAATATTAAATAATAAATGAAAGCAGCAAATAATTAATGGTGAAATATTGAGCAAATACAACATCCTGAAGCTTTCAAGCATTTTGTTCTACCTAATAGGAAAACAAAACAAAACCAACTTGATTAATAAGAAAAATCATTGGTTTGAATCCAGTTCCGATCAGCTGTGACCTATGGATGTTTTGCTCACCTGAGATTCAGTCCCAGCCTTGCGGGGGACACAATAGATCTTGTAATGAAGACAGAGCCTAGGGATGGCAACTTCACTGACTACCCTAAACTGCTGCCCAGATTAAAGTGAGAGGAGGGAAAGTTTCCTCATGTTTCCCCCTCTGCCGGTCTGGTTTACTGCATTGTGTCAAAAAAAGCTCCCAGGTTTATAAACATGAAACAAGTGTTTCTAGCAGAATAATTAGGCGCCCTGGGGTCTGTTCGAGCTACCACGCAGAGCAAATACAGATTGTCCTGTTCCCTTTTACCAGCACAGCAGAACTCCAGGCACCAAACAAGGCTGAGCTGTCCCCGCAACCTGTAAATATCTGCAGTACATTTTCCCCTGTCTGTTTCTTGCACATTTCCTAAAGAGCTTTTTTCCAACTAGCCTGTAGCATGTTCAAAAGGGCGGGTTTAGGGATGAAGATAAATGGGATCTTCTACAAGAAAAGTGCAGTCAGAGGAAATCTTTGATGACAGGAGTCTCGCTAGGCTTCTTTCATCTTTGTTTATTTGCAAATTTCAGGTAGAGTTGAAGTGGCAGAATAACTGCTTTAAACAAAGCAACTCCTGGAGGCAAAAGAAATGCACAGGCCTGAACAGGGCAGGAGGCTGATCCCAGAAAAAACATGAATAGAGGGACAAGGCAGGTGCGGTAATATCTTTTATTGGAGCAACTTCTGTTGGTGAGCAAAGCAAGCTTTTGAGCTTGCACAGAGCTATAGAGAGGTCAGTTCAGATGATATGCGAGACCTGGATCAACAGCTGATGCTCCTAGAGGGTTTGACCTTGTGAGGTGCGGAGGAGCTAAAGCTTCCCCTGAAGTCAGTGCAAGTGGTAGGTGCTCAGCATTCCACTAGATCAAGCCCCCAGGTGGGAGGCAAGCCCGTTAATTTTGTACAGTTTTGCTTTAATGTCCTGGGGCCTGATCCTGAGGTCAATGGGAGTTCTGCCTGTAAGATCAGACTGTGATGCCCTATGAATATGGCAATTATAGGCTTGTCTAAGAAAGGCACATAAATGAAATCCCAAATATTCTATTTCACACTGATAACACACTGCTGTACTTAAATGCTGCTTTGGTGGCCAGGGAAACCACTTAGCAAAAGGCACAGGAAGTATCAGGTAGTCTGAACTTCTCCTGCCTTCTGATCAGGGCCGGTGCAAGGAGGTTTCACGCCCCCCATCCAGCTAACCCCACCCCCCCCCCGCCGCCCCCCCCCCCCCCCCCCCCCGGGGAGCCCCCCCCCGCAGCAGCTACCCCTCCTCCGCGGCAGCTAACCCCGCCCAGGGAGACCCCCCCCGCGGAAGCTAACCCCGCCTGAGGAGACTCTTCCCCCCCCACAGAAGCTAACCCTGCCTGGGAAGCCCCCCTCCTACGGCAGCTAACCCCGCCTGGGGAGACCCCCACCGCGACAGCTAACCCCGGCTGGGGAGCCCGCCCCAGCTCACCTTGGCTCTGCCTCCTCCGCTGAGCACGCCGGCGCTGCTCTAATTCTCCTCCCCTCGCAGGCTTGCGGCGCCGATTGGAGGAGACTTAGGGTGGGGGCTGTGTGCTCAGCGGAGGAGGCAGAATGGAGGTGATCTGGGGCGGGGAGCGGTTCCCCTGTGCGCCCCCCCCCCCGTTATTGCGGGCGGCCCTCCCTGCGCCAGCTCACCTCCACTCCACCTCCTCGCCTGAGCGGGCTTTTAGGCACCCCCAACCACTAGGAGCCCTAGGTGGCCGCCTAGTTTGCCTAAATGGTTGCACCAGCCCTGCTTCTGATCAAATGGCAAATAGCATTGCTTGTGATTTCCTCATCCTTTTTACCATAATTGCCATGCATGGTTGTTTTTGCTTCACTGGAAAGGGAGAGAAAATGTGTTTAAAATAGCAAGAATCTAACTGTAAATTTTTGATTGTGGTTAGCAGAATTGGCCAAGTTTGGAAAGAAACTCTCCCATCAAGAAAGATGTTGAAAAGGAAAAGCATTCTGAGTTGTCTAGCTTCACGAGCATTACCGGATGTACGCAGAATTAGAAAAAACTAGCTTTGACAGTGCCATTAGGATTCCTTGCCCAGAACCAGCATCACTCCAGTTATCACAGATTCCAAAGCCAGAAGGGATCATTGTGATCATCTAGTCTGATCTCCTGTACAGCACAGGCCATAGAGTGTGCCCAGAATAATTCCTACAGCAGATCTTTTAGAAGAATATCCACTCTTGTTTTAAAAATGGACCGTGATAGAGAATCCCCCATGACTCTTGATAAATTGTTCCACTGTTTAATTGCTCTCACCCTTAAAAAATGACACCTTATTTTTGTTATCTCTATGTGAGGACAAGGTTGCGTTTCCTGAATACCTTCTTGCTAAACTCCCTTATGGCTTGTCTACACATAAACCGCTACAGTGGCACCACTGCAGCACTTCTGTGAAGACACTATCTACACCAACAGGAGGGGTTCTCCCATCTCCATAGGTAATCCACCTCCACAAGAGGCAGTAGCTAGGCTGACAGGAGAATTCTCCCATTGACCTAGGGCTGTCTACCCTGGGTTGATTTAACTGTGTTGCTCAAGGATGTGGATTTTCACACCCCTGAGCGACATAGTTATATCAACCTAATTTCCTACTTATAGACATGGCCTTAGTCTCTTTTCCATTGTTTCCTGGGAGTTTGGGGGGAGAGAAATCTTTTTAAAGGCTGACACCACACAATCTCCTCTTCACAGTTCTTTTCTCACTATCACGCAGATGCCTTTGGAAAAAACACTTGAAAACTCTTAGAGGGTGTATTTCATTCTTCGATCTCTTGATTGATGTAGTAGGCAGAGTGGGGGAAAATAATAACCCATTGTTTAAAAAGCGCTATGACTCATTTCATTCTGTCTCTTAGGAGTGCTGTATATTAGAAAACTTGCTTTGGTTTAACTCCTAGATCAGTTTTAAATCGATTTAGCTAAACCTGTGCAAACCCTTCATGTAGACACATTTAAACTGGTGTAGAATCATATAATATCAGGGTTGGAAGGGACCTTAGGAGGTCATCTAGTCCAACCCCCTGCTCAAAGCAGGACCAATCCCCAATTAAACCATCCCAGCCAGGGCTTTGTCAAGCCGGGCCTTAAAAACCTCTAAGGAAGGAGTTTCCACCACCTTCCTAGGTAACCCATTCCAGTGCTTCACCACCCTCCTAGTGAAATAGTTTTTCCTGATATCCAACCCTAAACCTCCCCCACTGCAACTTGAGACCATTACTCCTTGTTCTGTCATTTACTACCATTGAGAACAGTCTAGATCCATCCTCTTTGGAACCCCCTTTCAGGTAGTTGAAAGCAGCTATCAAATCCCCCCTCATTCTGCTCTTCTGCAGACAAAATAATCCCAGTTCCCTCAGTCTCTCCTCGTAAGTCATGTGCACCAGCCCTAGTGTAATCTTTGCTTAAATTGGTTTAGCTTCACTTGGTAATTTACCTAAGTGGGACTTAAGTGGTGCATAAGTCCTGTGCTGGCCCTCTGCATAGGGACGGAATTTCATCCTGTGTCCCTATACACTAGCTTCAGTGCTGCCTCATTTATATGCACTGAAAATAAATATGCTCAGAACAAGATATGAGATACTTATCTTGTTTTGAGAGTTGCTGTCTTGTTTTGCCTCTCTCTTCCCTTTCTAGTTGCTTTCATTTTTTGTCTACTCTGTGATCCTATTGCATGCAATTTTAGGCTGATCTTTGGAAGCTGAAAGTCATTGGCTGATTTGCAGTAGAAAGGAAGACTCCTGGGGGGAAGGTACGAAGATAACTTAGTGAAAGCTCTATGGGAAAGCAGGTCACATTCAAGTAGAAAGATATAAATGTTTGCTGTCATTCCCCTTGAGTTTCTCGTAATGCAACACAGCTTTGATCATTTTTATTAAGGACCTCATCCAAAGCCCACTGAAGTGAATTTCCATTGACTTCCATGGGCTTTGGATCAGGTTGTAAAGCATAAAGGAACTGAGTGAATTCCAACTGACGCCCTCTGAGAACTGTGTTTGTGCTAGAATATGCTAATATATATATTTTCCCCTTTCTATCCACATTGGAGTCTCTCATATTGAAGTTGAACTAAACCTGTCCCTTATGCCAGTATGTGTGCAATGCAACTCCCAAGCTGCAATGTAAAGCCTTTCCATAAGTGTAGTGACTATGGCTTTAAATCATGCAACTGAGAGCATATACTCAGACTGCTGTGCCTGTATGAAATCACTATTTCTTCAGTGGGGTTCTGCATGAACCTGGCAGTCTGTCCATGTGCTACACTTTGTAGCTTGGGGGGGGGGGCTTATAAATACCCCCCACCCCATTATTTCCTTCACTATTTAAACTGTTCAATACAGATTATATTCCAGACACATGAAGAATTTGTGAATGATAACTCAGTGTTTACGTCCCCAAAAGCACCAGCTGAAAAGGAATATTTACCAGTATTACATGTCCACCTGTATAGGACTGGAACATTAGTACTTTGTTCTAATCATGTGTATAATTTCATCAGTCATTTCCAGATCTATTTGGTAACATATGACACACACTATGAGAAAACTGTGTATGCAGTTCTTTAACTTTATTGTCTAGCTTTATTGCACATACTTTATTGAAGCCTTCATTACTTTACCACTCAAGGTTTCCATAGCTATTTTGAATTTAGTTTAAACATATTTTGTCTCCCAAGTGACAATTTTATTTTAATTTTAAGGTTTTGAATCATCCAAATTGAACATAGCTCCTGAACTGATAAGTAAACACCATGCATATTCTGGAAGCAAGCCAATGGATACTCTGCAAGCATACTGATACTGTGCATAGAGAAAAAACACCATAGAACTTTAACTTTAAACCTAAATTGTCTCTGAATTAAATACATGGTGTGACATTTTTAGCTCAGTAAATTTATGGATTGTTTTGTGACCTGATTGGGAAACCGACACACAGTCTAAATCAATCCTTCTTCTTCTCTTTTTTCTCTTCCTCTCCTGCTGCCTCTTCCTTCTTCTCCCCATCTTCAGCTTCCTCAGCAGCCTCTTGGGATTCCTCCCCTTCTTCTCCTTCTTCCTCTTCTCCTCCTTCCTCCTCCTCACCCTCTTTGGCTTCCTCAGATTCCTCCTTGGCACCTTTAAAAATTGAGCAGCAATAAAGCATTCCACATCTTGCATGTAGCAGCTGCTGAGCCAGGGTCTTGATTCTGCTTTAATTGAAGTCAATGATAAAACCCCTACTGACCTCAATAGGAGCATAAATGAACTTAGGCTATGTCTACACTACAGCCAGGATCCACCGGCAGTCGATTTAGTGGGTCTAGTGAAGATCTGCCAAATCGACAGCAGATCGCTCTCCAGTCGACCCCTGTACTCTACCCCTGACGAGAAGAGTAAGGTAAGTCGACGAGAGAGTTTCTCCCATCGGCCCCCCATGGTGTAGACCCCGTGGTAACTTGATCTAAGGTACGTAGACCTATTCACATAGCTGGAGTTGCACAGCATAGGTCGACTTACCGCGGTAGTGTAGACATAGCCTTAGTTTGGGGGCTTCAAAAAAAAAAAAAAAAAAAAAAAACTTATATTAAGTTTAGGGTGTGTTTATTTAGGCTAGGGTTTTCAAGAGACTAAGGGAGTTAGGCATTAAATCATATTGAATTTCAAAGGGATTTGGGTGTTTAACTTCTGTAGGCTCCTTTGAAAATCCTGGCCTTAAAACAAAAAACAACAACAACAAAAAACCCACAACTGATTGGCAACTCATTTTAAGCCTTGATCCAAAACCCACTGAAGTCAAAAGGAGTCTTTCCACTGACTTCAGTGAACTTTGGATGAGCACATTGGTGATCCACTAGAAAAGGCATTATCTAGTTACAGATGAGCTTTCATACTAAGTGGATCTTAGATAACTGTTTAAATAAAAACAAATCTGCTTTCAGATGTGTGTAGTTGAAATCCTCCCTCAAGGATTAATCATCACAGATCATTAATATCTGTCTGTTTAATTTTTTTCCTGCTGTTTAGGCATTTAAGATTTTACCACCCATTGTTTAGTGCATTAGACTATGTGCCCTGAGAATGATTATAGCATCAAAAAGAGAATGAAGATTCTCAGTGGCGCTCTAGCTCAAAGACACAGGATAACAAAACAAATTGCAACAGGAAGTGGGAAAGGATGCTCCAGAGAATAATTATTTTAAAATGTTTCTTTAAAAACTTCCAAGTTTAGTAAAGAATGTAATGGAAAAATGTACTTTGGTGGAAGGAGGACAGTGGAAATAACTGGCAAGATCCCCAGCTGATGTAAATCAGCACAGCTTCACTGAACTCAATAGCATTGATTTATGCCAGCCGAGGATCTGGTTCAAGATGTTCTCTGGGAATTAATATTTAGTTCAAGATGTTCCTGTTCTTTTCAGGAATGTCTGGAAATGGTCAATTAAGTATTGTTTATTGGCTTGAGAATTTGCCAATAGCACTTTCTATTAACATAGCCCAATGCTCTTTCTTTGAAAGTCAATTGCAAAGCTCCCATTGACTGCCAGGAGAGCAGGATCGGCCCCATAACGTATTGAACATTCAATATTTGTCTGATTTCATCCTTCATATTGTACTTAAGTTTTCCCACACATGCATCATGGGGTCAATCCAGCAATTCCTTACTTATGTGAATAGCCCCATTTAAGCCAATGGGTCTATTCACTTGAGTTAGGAGTGTTTATATTAACAAAGACTTGCAGATTGAGGCCTCATATATGAGCATAGGTGAATTCTGGAATAGCATGCTTTGAAAGTAACCAAATGTACCTTCTTCCTCTTCTTCAGCTTCTTCTCCTCCCTCCTCTTCCTCAGCCTCCTCCTTCTCCTCCTCCTCACCTTCTTCTGAAGGGGGTGCTGCTTTGGCCACTTCCATTTTTGCTGCCTCAATAGTCTCCTCTACTTCTATCTGTTCTTCCTGAACGTGACTGGAGTAGTAAGCAGGGAAGGAACGGGCTGACATCAAATAGGAGCTGCTCTGTAAACCGCTGTAGGCAGACCTGCCAAAGACTGGGGCACTCTGAGTGTAGCCACTGGTTATGCTTCCAACACCAGTGAAACTAAGCCGTGTCTCCTCACCTTCCAGCAATTTTCTAGAGGAGGAAAAAGAAACAATTATGTATTGTTTGTCCTGCAGTTGGGCCTAGAAGCCCCTTTCACGGGCCAGGGCCACATTGTGCTAGAGGCTGTACAAACACAGAACAAAAAAGATGGTCCCTGCCCCCAAAAAGATTACCAACTTATACTCTTTTAGTAATAAAGACCATTATTCTACAATAACCAACTGTCTGGCAATTATACATTGATCCAAAAAGGATGGCACTTTATCAAAATGAGTTACAGAAGGTAGAAATTAGACATCAATGTGCATCACTGGATGTAAAGAACCCTTTGAAAGGGAACTAATGAAAAACAGCATGAAAATAACATCACTATGCCAACAATGGAAGATAGTTGTATTCTGTTATCCTGTAGAACTGCACAGAGTAGGGACACCCAACAATCTGACCTCCTCCTTTTGCTCCAGGGGGTCCACGTTTAATAAATATACCAAGCAGTTTTATACTGAAAAAATACTCCCCTGCCTCTACACTCAGATGCAAGTAGTCAAAATAATTTTAACTTGGTGTTTGCAGTTTCCATTAATGCCTAGGGTCAAGCATAAAACAATGATGTAGCAGTAAGTTTGCTCCCAAACATTAGCCTTCAGCTGAGATTTTAAAAGCACCTAATAACTTGTAGTGGGATTTGTGCTCCTAACTCACTTAGGCACTTTTGATAATCCCAACCTTTGTATTTATTATTTTAATTAGGCTTTGCTGGTTCTAACAAACTTTTTGTATTCAACAAATATAAGCATGGAAGGTTTATTATATAGTGAAGATTTTGTCCTGAAGCAAACATTTCACCTTCAAATCATTTTTTGGTTGGCTTTTTTTCTGTGAGTAGGTTTAGGGGCTAGTTAATAAAAACACTGAAGAATAAAATAGAATTCTATAGGAAACCTGCAGCAATGTTTTCTATAGTGACGAGAGAGTGCAGAAAATGACCTCATAGTTCTTATCTATTTCAGATACCTATTAGTCTATGAAAGGCTAACATAGTCAGCAGCTATAATTCTTGCCAAATATTAGAGCTAATTATGTAAGGGGCTTAAAGCTAGTGAGGGGCATGAAAAATAAAATGGAATTTCTCCAGCTGCAAGAGAAAATTTCTGATTCACTTAACACTTTCTCCATCATACCTGTATGCTGCAATTTCAATATCCAGAGCCATTTTCACATTGAGAAGATCTTGATATTCTTTCAAATAACGGGCCATCTCACTCTTTGTGGTTCTCAGTTCATTTTCTAATTTATTAATTGTGTCCTGTTGGGAATAAGAATATTCAGAAACATAAAATCTTTAGTTCCTCTTGTGTACTGCAGTGATGGCTTGGAAAATAATGCTAAAATCCTATTAAATGTAATCCTGCTGCAGCAAGGGAATGTATTTAATGGACCCAGGTCTGGCTTCAAATATAAGGTTGAAACTCTCATTAAGTGCCGCATCATCTGATAGGGTTTTTCCATGTCTAACATATATGATTCTATTTCATTTAATGTTTTTAAGATCCAAAGTGGTTTTGATTTTCCCTATTTCCCACAAACAATTGCCAGAATTTATTTTAGTTCCCACTATTTTTTAAAGAAGAGGTGCTTATTTGAGGGCAGAAAGCAAGTTATGTTGTGAAGCTACAATCGTTCAACAGATATTATTTTACATTTTAGCCTAATGTCATTTTTCTTTAATTCATGGAACTTCATGCCAATAAACACAATGGGCCAGATCCTTGGATGCTATCTACTGGCATAGTTCCTCAGTGGAGCTACATCGATTTGCACCATTTAAAGATCTGACCCATTAGATTCTGTGCCCACTACCTGCATTTGCAGATATGTTTATCTAGTCCATTTCCATTCCTTTTCATTAAAGAAGTGATGGATTCTTTGCTACTTCAAACTAGTTAGTTCCTAATATGGTGGTTACTAAAAGAGAGAATGACCCTCTTAAATCATATCTTGTTTTAATGATATAATCCTGTACTTCTTACTATGGCAAAACTTCCAATTGACTTTAATCACAGAGTCATAGAAGTGTAGGATTGGAAGGGACCTCAATAGGTCAGCTAATCCAGTCCTCTGCACTCAAGACAGGACTACCTAATAACTAGACTATACCTGACAGATGCTGATGAAGAGTTTTGCCTGAGTAAGGGCCACAAGATTTTACATACAGTAATAAGTGATTCAAGGACTAAATTATTCCTGAAATGTTTGTATTTTTTAAACACAAACTACCTTAGTTTTCTCTTAATCTTTTATTCTTTACTCCTTTTGCATTTTCTAGCATTAGCTTCTTAATTAATTACATTCTTTTTTTCATTAAAGGATCAATTAAATCCTTTAAAAATGTATCCACATAATTAATATCACCTAACATGCGTTAGAACTAATACCGCCCATTCAGATTTTATTAACTACAATATACAATTCATAAATAACCCAACCCAATGAATTTTAGTCCTGTTAATAGAGCTCTACTCCAACATTTATCAAAATGACTTCAATTAAAAACACTTATGATCATGTAATTAGCACTGTGTTAAACATCATTGTAAGTAATGCAGCTCATTTAACTGCATTCTGTTATAAGCGTTGCAAAACATTCATCATAACTAATGGCACCTTTTTAGTTGCTACTCTTATTGCTGAGTTCTGCTTATTTCACCGGAATTGGGTTTTAACTTAACCCTTTAAAAACGATTCCTGTAATGAATATACATCCTGCTTAATGCAAACCTTTGTGTTACTTTCTCCTATAGCTGAGGATACAAGCACCATGGACATTTTGCATTTAGTTGCAAAGAAGCACTGTCTATGTGCTGGGGGTCCCTGCAGAGGGGAGAGCTCTTACCTGCCCAGAAGACTGCAGGGGTCAATTCCCTGAGTAGGGCCTGATCCAACGTTTGCAGAAGACAATTAATGTATTCCCACTGACTTCAATGGGCTTTGAATCCGGGTATAGGTGATGGGAATTTCTGCCCCGTGCCTGGACAGATGCTGGGGTTGCTGCTTTCATTACTTATCTAGGTGCTGGACAGCTCCCAAGCTAGGAGCCAGTAATACCCCCCGGTGCTGGACAGCTCCCCGAGTTAGCGCTAGTGATAGCCCCCAGTGCTGGACAGCTCCCCGGGTTAGCTCTAGTGATATGATACCCCACGGTGCTGGACAACTCCCTGCCTGGGCGCTCGGGATGGTGCCCGTAGCTACCCGCCTGGGCGCTGGGGATGCTGCCCGGTGCATTGCACCGTTGCCCGCCCGAGTGACCTGCCCAGGCGCTCCAGGGTTCCCGGCACCCGCCTGCCCATGTCCCGGGGGAGGGATGCCGGGGGTGGCTCACCTGCATGGCGGCGATATCGGCGTTCTGCTTCTCCTCCAGCTCCTGCAGTTGCCTCTCCATCGCCTCGTTCATGCCGCGGGTGGCCTCGATCTCCAGCGTCTTGGCCTTGAGCAGCCGGCGGCTCTCGGAGATCTCGTCCTTGGCGGCGCGCACGGCGTCGGTGTTCTTGGCGGCGCTCTCGGTGAGCACGGTGAAGCGGCTGCGGAACCACTCCTCGGCGTTCTGCATGTTGCGCGCCGCCAGCTTCTCGTACTGCGCCCGGATGTCGCGCAGCGCGGCCGAGAGGTCCGGCTTGGCCGACACTTCCATCTCCACCGAGAGGTGCGCGTACTGGATCTGCGCCTGCAGCTCGGCCAGCTCCTCCTCGTGCACCTTCTTGAGGAAGGCCAGCTCGTCCAGCAGGCTGTCGATGCGCTTCTCCAGCTCGGCCCGGGCCAGCGCCGACTCGTCCGCCCCTTTGCGCATCTCCAGCAGCCGGCCCTCGGCGTCCTCCCGGCTCAGGATCTCCTCCTCATAGCGCGCCTGCAGCCCGCGCAGCGTCTCCTCCAGGCTCTCCCGCTCGCCCTGCAGCGCCTGCTTCTCGCCGCTGGCCTCCTCGGCCGCCAGGCGCAGCTCGCGGATCTCCTGCTCGTAGAGGGCGCGGAAGCGGGAGGGCTCGGCGTGCTTCTGCCGCAGCACCAGCAGCTCGGCCTCCAGCACCTTGTTCTGCTGCTCCAGCTCGTGCACCCGCTCGATGAAGCTGGCGAAGCGGTCGTTGAGGTCCTGCAGCTGCGCCTTCTCCTGGCTGCGGATGGACTTGAGGTCGCTGCTCATCGCCGCCACCTGGCTCAGGTCGAAGCTCTCCACCGAGGGCAGCAGGCAGCCCGAGGCCGACGAGGCGGCGTAGCTCCGGCGCACCGACACGGAGGAGACCGGCGCCGAGAGGCTGGAGTAGGTGGAGCGGGACAAGCCATAGCCGCCGCCGCCGCCGCTGCTGCTGCGCACCGTGCCGATGTGCAGCCGGGGACTCTCGGCGTAGCGCCGCTTGTAGGCGGGGAAGAAGGGGTCGTAGCCGAAGGAGCTCATGGCGCCGCCCGCCGCAGGAGGAGAAGCTGCTCTGCGCCCGGCCGCCGCCCGCCCGCCCCTATTTATACCCGCACAAGGGGGCTCTGACGCAGGCGCCCCGTCGCGGGGAGAGGCCGCGGGCGCCGGTGCCAAGAGCAGGGAGCGCGCTGCGCTGCGCCAAGGGAAGGGGCCGGGCTCCGCCTCGGAGACGGGGCTGGTCTGATCGCCTGCTCCGCGTCTGGTGTTCTTCTCAGCCCGCTTCAGCCCATCCTCCCTGCTCCCTTCCCATCGCCCCCCTTATCCCCATCATTGCCCCCTTCATCCCCATCCTCCCACAGCAGCTCACATCGCTCCCCCTTGTCCCCATCCTCCCAGCTCCCATCACCCCCCTTGTCCCCATCCTCCCAACAGCAGCTCTGTAGCGGGGCAGTTACCCTGCTACTAGGGGGGAAGGTAGGCTGATTGGGGAGGCAGCCAGAGCTGTGGCCACACCCAATCAGGCCACAGCTGGCCCTGATATAAGGGCTAAGGGAGAAGCTGGGTCAGTCTTACTCCAGCCTTGGAGTGGGAAGGACCTAGCTCCCTAGGGTCACAGGGTACCTGAAGCAGAGCAGAGCAGAGCAGAGCAGAGCAGGGCAAGGGCAAGGGCAAGGGCAAGGGCAAGGGCAAGGGGAGCTGGGGAGGTCTTGCTTGGCTACTCCCTAGGCTGAGGCCTTGCTGAAGCCTAAGGAGGTACTGGGGCTGCAGAGGTAGCTGGTCCAACCCCCTTGCCAGTGATGAGTGGCCATTACAGACTGCAGTCTGCCCCAGCGAATGGGGCTAGATGATGACCGGCAGTAGCCACTGAGGCAAGCTGGACATAGGGGTTGGGGGTTCCCCTGGGAGGGGAGACTGAGTGTGGGGGGTACTGCTGTGGGCAGTACCCCAAGGTAAAGGGCACTGGGGTCTGGGAGGCACATGGTGGGGGCCTGAGGCGGGAGAGATGCCAGCCAGCAGCGGGTGCTCCGAGGCTGGAATTGAGCTAATTTCTGGATGATCAGCAGGAGGTGCTGTGGTGGTGAGTCCTTGATCTGTTACAAGCTCCCATTGCCCCCCCCCTTTGTACCCATCCCCCCAGGAGCTCCCATTGCCCATCAGCCCCTCCACATCTAGCAGCTTCTTGCCACCTCTGTCCTATCAGCCTGTCACACCCCATTGGTTTATTTCATTCCCCAGCCTGGCCCCAGCTACTCCTTAAACCCATCTCCATTAACTCCTTTCAATCCAACCCCTTTTCTATCAACTCCTTTCAACCACAGCCCATCATCTTGTGCCCACCCTCTTCTCATCCCATCAATTCTTTCACCCAATCTCATTCCATTCCAATCCTCTCCCCCAATTAAATTGTCCTCCATCATACCATAAAAACCTGGTATTTCCATTAAGTCCTTTCACCTGAATCCACCCCATCATCTCCTGGAATCTCCCCATTACCTACTTTCACTTCACCCTACCATTTTCTTCTTACTACTCATCAGTACCTCTGAGCCCACTCCACTGGCTCCTGGCATCCCTCCCAACCAATCAGCTCACTTTCCATATTCCCCCTCCCCCCATAGGTCAGCCTCCTATGGCACTGCAGTAATACAAGGGGATTTTAGTAATATAATGAGACTATAACTAATACAAAGTGTGTGTATATATAGGGTCTGAGCCTAAGGGAGTTAAGTGCCCAATCCATTTGGATTTCAATGAGACTTGGGTACCTAACTCTTCTATTAGCTTTTGCAAATCCTAGCCTATAGGTGCATGTCAATCTGATTAAGTTATTCTGCATCTTAATTTGCTTTTATCATAATTCATCCAACACACTTGCAGTTTAACTCTATTTTTACTTGCCTTTCCACCATGTCTCTTCTGTAATATTTGTTATATCCTTTTCTAAATCAGCCAGTTATATGAATTCAGAAAAAAATATGTGGGTTAGGATTGCTTGTTGCCCTGTCACAATGAAATACACCCCCCCCCACCACACACACACACACACAAGTATCTATCTGAACATCTGTTTTTGTGCCCCATTAAATTTGCTTGGTCAGCCTGTTTGAGTCACAGATCACAGGTAAATGACAGACTTGTCTCATCAGGTTGAGAGGAACTCCACAGGTATATTAAAGCAACTGGACGACTGCTTTGCATTAAATACTGTTCCCTCATCTGTTCTGAAGGATTTGCTGTTGGTTAGTTAAAACAAAATAACCTTTATGCCCTGATCGCTTTGCACTAAGTATAAGATATGAAGAGATTGAAAGAATAAAAGCAGGCAGTGCAAGTTTCATAGATTGCTTGAATACAATCATATGAGATTTCTCTGGATCAGAAGTTCTTTTAATGGCAAAAATAGTTGTTCAATGAAAGCTTTGTCTGAGTAAAGACTAAATAAAACTGCAGGATTTGGTCCACATTTATTAGCAGCAGACACTGAGCCTGCTTAATTGCTTCACAAAGGAAGAGAAACTATCTATCTCTATTGGTATAACACCTGTGAAATATACCATCTAATATATTTAGATAGCACCAGTCACAGTGGCCTTTAGGCACTGACAACACAAAGGACTGGCAAAAATTGTTTGCTTAATGCTGTTATCTTCTAATAAAAAGGGATTAGGATTGTTTTCCCATTACCTTGGGGTGGTCTCAGAGGCTGAGTTTACATGTAAAATGCTACCAAGTCAACATGGCCGCTATACAGCCCAAGTCAGCTGAGCCGGGCCAGTCCCGGGTGTTTAATTGCTGTGTAGGCATACCCCGCGACTGCAGTTCCTTTGTATACAATATGTTGCCAATTGAACCATTATGACAATTGAAATATGTTAGTGATACAGTAAATACAGCCTGAAAACTAGGGCCTGCATAGTAAACAGAGGGCATGTTGCTCAACTGGTGTAAATCAGCATAGCTCTTTTGATGTCAATGGAATTACGCAGTTTACTCTAGCTAGGAATGTTTTACATATGACCCTATGTACCTGCAAAGTTTTACTTTAAACCAAGAAAATTATTTTGGCCGTTACATTAGGAAAAGGATTGTGAACTCTAGAACTACATATGCAGTGGGCAGCCAAAGTAAATGCAAATAATTCAGGATTTTTGCTAAGTCTCAAATCTATGCAGTGGAGATGGCTGCACATCCCTATTCAGAGATGTGCAGCCTGCCTGTGTGGCTTGTGTTGTTTGCAAAGACCTTTGGGGGAAAAAATGCAAATGGAACAATTGCTAAACTGCTGGCTGACTTGGCACATCACTATTGACCACATTCATGTTTCTTTCAAGTGAGTACTTAGTTTATCATATGCTCTGGGTATCCCTAGGCTTCTGGATGCCAGTGGTTGGATCACTCGATAAGTGTTCTGTTCCTTTCCTCTGAAGCATCTGACACCAGCCCCTGCTGGAAGACAGGATACTGGGCTAGATGGACAATTGGTGTGACCCACTAGAGCCATTCTTATGTTCCTGTGTGCTACATGGATCTGATCTAATTCCCAGCCAATGGAAAGACTCTCACTGACTTCAATGGGCTTTGGATCAAGTTGTTATGGGCCAGATCCTCAGCTGATGTAGATTGGCACAACTCCATTGATTTCAATGGTTCTACACTGATTTACTCACTGGAGAGCTGACCTTCTAGTTTTGTAGTATTGTTTTATTTAATATTTTAATAATATCTGAGTTTCAAACCTGAGGAAAATAGGATTAGTAATAACTAGTCCTTGTATAGTATTAAAAATCTGGAGCTCTAACACTCTCTCAAGTAGTCCCAGGGTGGGGATGAAAAGCATGTTGACCCCAAAAGAATGGGTTTTGCATCTGGTGGCAGGAAGAAAGAGGGGTAGTGTCCTCCAGCTCGCAGACCCGATCAGGGCCAGCTGTAGGGGAAATGGTACCCTGGGCAAATTTGTATTTTGGCCCCCACTGCCTCCCTGTGTTCCACATCCTTCCCTGCCCCTGGCTCCCCATCCATCCCTCCCATTGCCTCTGCTCCCCGCTGGCTCCCCAGGACCCCGCTGCTTCTTTCCCCCCCGCCCCATTGTCCCAAGCTCCCTTCCGTGGCCTTGCATCCCAGGCCCATGCCACTCCTAGCCTCTTGACCACAGCACACTGGGCGGCCGCCTGCATCACCCACCTGTAAGGCTGTCCCTGGACCCTATAGAAACCTCTGCATACCAGCTGCGGTGTTGAGCTATTGTGTGGCTAAGTGGGGAACGTTGTTAGCTAGGAAGAGAACAGAGCAAATAAAACTCACCATTTAAGCCATCATCCCTTGGAAGCTCATAAGTATTTAGGGTAATGCTGCCTCAGATTTTTCTACCTACCTTTGTCCTACTGCTGTGTGTGTTTTCTCCCCAGTGTGAAGAGCATAGTCTAGGCCCTGCTGTTTCACTATCAATAAAAAACAACCTAAAAATGGTGGTGAACAGAGGGTTGTCTATCAATTAGCATGTAAGAGCTCCTGCTGCCTCTCCTGAAAAGCTGTCTGCATTTTTAGTACTCACATGAATGTGGTCAATAGAGATGTGCTGAGTCAGCCAGCAGTTTAGCAATTGTTTCGTTTACATCTGCTGAAGCAAAAACCTGAGGCTGCACCCTTGCTGTATTAATTAGTTATGGGTCTCCCAGTTCCATCTGAACTAAACTTCCAGGGAAAGAATCCAAAGTCCAGGCTTGTGCTGAATTCTATGGAAATAACTCTAGTGCCAAAGGACTGACAGCTGCTCAGCCATTTACTAGTACTGCCTAGGCAAAAGCAAGTAAGAGGTCCATGCAAATAAACACCTGTAATAAACAGTTAGCAAACCTCCCTCTCCTCTATATAATGCAGTTATAGTCTATGTACCTAATCCATCATTGGGATTACAGACCCAGGGACAGATTCTCTGGTCTGCTAAGGCCACTTTGAGCAGCACAGAGTGGTCTTGAGATAGCCGGTGGAGAATACCCCCTGTGCTGGTGAACTCTCTGCCAGTGGAAAGCTGGTGGAGATGG